GAAGTTTAATGCTCAACACTTTTTAAACATTCTCTGAGGGATCCAATAGAAATATTTAATGATGGGTGAGTTTCATTTTTCAAGCATTATATATACATTATTCTCAGAAAAGCTAATATAAGCACTGATTTCTAGAATAGGAATCTACTACTAATGTGTTAGGCAATTGTTATGTTCATTGACCTGTATCTTCTAAATTATAATTCAGTCAAAGAAATTATCTTCCTGCAATATGCAGTCTTGGGTAGTACTGGTTAATGACTCAAATAAAGTTAAGGAATTATGCTATCTTGGAATATCTGGACAGGCATGAATATCTCCCTGATTACTGAATCCTCACTCATATGAATAATTTTTAAACTGTGTAGTTTTGAAACCTACATGGAACCATGCAACAAAGTGGTAAGAGAATATTTATTTTTAAATAAAATGGCTGCTTGATTTAAGGCAGATTACATGCTTGTAAGTATCCATTGTATGGAGTTCAGTTTAAAAGTGCTACACTAGCCGAGGGCCCAGGGGAGGGGTGGCGGGGTAGCGGTGGTTATCTGGGAGTCCCATGGCCCACGGGAGGTCACTGCTCCTCAGATAGTTGGGTGTGAATCTCTCCTCATGAAATGGGATCCACAAGGTCAGTGGGGTCTGTTGATTACATACCTATCTCCCAGCTACGTATCATCGGCCCTGCCCGGGCTGCTGGATGCCCTATCGGGGTTGTTGGTGGAGTTCCCTAGGCTTATTGTTCTAGGGGACTTTAACCTACCGTCCCTGGGTGGGGCGTCAGGAGCGGCCCGGGAGTTCATGGCTTCCATGGCAGCCATGGACCTGACTCAAATAATTCAAGGCCCGACTCATGTGGGCGGACACACGCCCGATCTGGTTTTTATCTCGGAGCAGTGGCATAGTGAGTTTGGTGGGGGTATGCCAGTCATCTACCCCCTGTCATCGACCGATCACTATCTCCTTCGGCTGGGCTTCCATTATGCCATCCCCCACAGCCAGGAGTCGGAACCGACCATCTGGTTCCGCCCCAGGTGCCTGATGGAACCCGAGCGGTTCTGGTCGAAGCTTGGGGATATCCCTCTCTCGCTTTCCCATGCCCCAGTCGAGACCCTGGTGGATGCCTGGGAAAAGGCAGCCACCGGGCCTTTTGACTGGGTCATGCCTTTGAGGCCTCTGACCCCACGTAGATCCCGGTTGGCTCCTTAGTTTACGGAGGAGCTCCGGGAGATGAAATGCTGGAGGAGAGGCCTAGAGAGAGGTTGGAGGTCCAGCCATTCTGAGTCTGACTGAGCCTAGCTGAGATCCTTTTCACTGTCTTATCTGGTGGCGATGGAGGTAGCAAAGCATTCCTACTTCGCTGCCCTCATCGCGTCCGCAGAAAATCGCCCGGCTGCCCTGTTTAGGATCTCCCGCTCTCTTCTGAGGGAGGGAAGGGGAGGACCCTATACAGGGACGGGCCGAGGAGTATAGTCAATTTTTGATGGACAAGATCGCTCAGATTCGAGACGGACTGGACTCCGACTGTGCGGGGTCGATCGGAGAGGTGGCAACGGGTCTGGTTGTTTGGGATGAGTTCAATCCTGTTACTCCCAAGGAAGTGGACAGGATCATGGGGAAACTGAGTGCTATCATGTGTTTGTTGGACCCGTGTCCCTCCTGGCTGGTTTACTCGGCCAGGGAGGTTACACGTAGCTGGATTCAAGCAGTGGTCACTGCATCATTGGCTGAGGGGAGTTTCCCCGCCGCCTTGAAAGAGGCAGTGGTGAGGCCGCTCCTCAAGAAGCCCACCTTGGATCCAGTTATTTTAAACAATTTTCATCCTGTCTCTTGTTGAGAGCGTGCTGACACGTCAGCTCCCGCTGGTCCTGGATGAAGCATCATACCTACACCCGTACCAGTCTGGATGGGGAGGAACACGCTCCGACTCAACCTTGCCAAGACGGAGTAGCTATGGGTACCGGAGTCTCGGTTCCAAGGGAATATTCGGCATTGGTCGCATTGGTGGATGATCTCTGGAGGGCTCGGGACAGGGGTTGTTCCTCTGTTCTGGTCCTGTTGATCTCTCAGCAGCTTTTGATACCATCGACCATGGTATCATGCTGCAGCAGTTGAGGGGGTTAGGAATAGGGGGCACCGTTTTGTGGTGGTTCTCCTCCTTCCTCTCTGACCGCTCGCAGTTCGTGTTGACAGGGGGGCAGAGGTCGACTTCGAGGCGCCTCGCATGAGGAGTGCTGCAAGGGTCGGTCCTCTCGCCCCTTCTGTTCAACATTTACGTGAAGCCACTGGGTGAGATCATCCGTGGTTTTGGGGTGAGAGTCCATCTGTATGCTGATGATATTCAGCTGTACATCTCCACCCCAGACCACCCCAACGATGCCCTTGATGTGATGTCTTGCTGCCTGGAGGCCGTGCGGGTCTGGATGGGGAGAAATAGGCTCAGACTCAACCCCTCCAAGACTGAGTGGCTGTGATTCCTGGCGTCCCGATATAGTCAGCTGGTGCCATCGCTGACTATTGGGGGTGAGTCTTTGCCCCCCACAGAGAGGGCTTGCAATCTGGGCATCCTCCTGGACGCACGGCTGTCTTTAGAAGAACATATGACAGCTGTGGCCAGGGGGGCTTTCTATCAAATTCACCTGATTCGCCAGTTGCAGCCCTTTCTGGATCACGACGCCTTGCGCATGGTCACTCATGCCCTTTTCACCTCCCGACTGGACTACTGTAATGCTCTCTACATGGGGCTCCCCTTGAAAAGTATCCGGAGGCTCCAACTGGTCCAGAATGGGGACCACGAGGGGGTTATGGGCGCAACTCATTGTGCCCATGTGACATCCCTCCTGCACGAGCTGCCCTGGCTCCCAGTGGTCTTCCGGGTGTGATTCAAGGTGTTGGTTACCACCTTTAAAGCGCTCCATGGCACTGGACCTGGGTACCCTTGAGACTGTCTTCTGCTACCAGGAGCCTCCCACCGGCCAGTCCGCTCCCACAGAGAGGGTCTCCTCAGGGTGCCATCGGCCAAATTATATTGGCTGGTGACACCCAGGGGGAGGGCCTTCTCTGTGGGAGCCCCTGCCCTTTGGAATGAACTGACCCCAGAAATGTGTAAGATCTCCGACCTCCGTGTATTTCGCTGTGCCCTCAAAACCTTGTTGTTCCACCAGGCCGGGCTATCAATGTAAAGATTTTAATTGGTTTTAAATGTGGGATTTTAAATTTGGGGGTTTTATAATTGAGCCAATTATTTAATAATTTTAATTATTTTTAAATTTTGTCTGTCTTTGTGCTTTTAATCAGGCTGTACACCCCCCTGAGTCCTTTGGGAGAAGGGCAGTATAGAAATAAAATAATAATAATAATAATAATAATAATAATAATAATAATAATAATAATAATAATATTCCATCTTTGGTCATAGGGGGAGAGGTGTTGCCCCCTGTGGGTAGGGCACGCAACTTAGGCATCCTCCTGGATGCACGGTTGACTTTAGAAGACCATGTTACGACCGTGACCATGGGGGCATTTGCCCAGATTCGTCTGGTATGCCAGTTGCACCCCTACCTGGACCGAGATGCCCTATGCACGGTCACCCATGCACTCGTCACCTCCCGGATTGACTATTGCAACGCTCACTACATGGGGCTGCCCTTGAAAACCACTCGGAGGCTTCAGCTGGTGCAGAATGTGGCCGCGCGGGTAGTGATGGGAGTGTCCCGATGCTCCCATGTCACACCCCTCCTGTGTGACCTGTATTGGTTACCGGTTGCCCACCGGGTGAGGTTCAAGGTGCCGGTGATTACCTTTAAAGCCCTACATGGCTTAGGCCCAGGGTATTTGGCGGATCACCTGCAACCAGCAACAGCTCCCCATTGCCCCGTGTGCTCACATAGAGAGGGCCTAAGCCCTACTTGGGATCCCGTCGTCCAAACAATGTCGGCTGACGGCCCCTAGGGAGCGAGCCTTCTCTGTGGGCACACCTACCCTCTGGAATCAGCTCCCCTTGGAGCTCCGGGTAGCCCCTGACCTTCGCTCCTTCAGCCGTAACCTTAAAACATGGCTGTTTCGCCAAGCTGGCCTGGACTGAATGGGGGTTTAATGGGAATTTTAGTTTTTATTGTTGAATTTTAATTGGACTTGTTGTTGTTTATTGCTGTGAGCCGCCCTGAGTCCTTGTGGAGAAAGGGCAGCATATAAATCCAATAATAAAATAAATAAATAAATAAAATAAAATAAAAGTAAGAACAAAGTTCAATATAGTTTTTCATGGTGAAGTACAAGAAAAATATTGTTACTCTCTATACTTCCTCAAATTGTGATTTGATCTTTAAAGGCTGACCAGTTTAGAACAAAAGTTGATGTTTATTATATTGTATAAACATAAGCCAAACCTTTCTCTCTCCATTGTCCTAAGTCAATACATTGCATTAGCTTCGTTCAGACCATTGTCCCAGTTTTCTTCAAGTTTTCTTTTGACTTCCACATATGTACTTCGATAAAACATGTCTGTGAATTGATCTTCCCAATTCACCGCTCAGCAAAATACCGTTAACCCAGATAATCAACCAGAGCCCTTGAACCATGAAGCTGCTAGTTTAGAATCTGCATAAAACTGGGCCAGGGAGTGGGGTTAATGTATAATAGGAACCTCAAAAAGGATCAGTTGATCTAGTGTATTAATGTACCTAAAACCATCAAAAATATTTTCAGAAATATACAGAGAGTGGGCATAATATTTTTTCTTAGAATAGAATAACAGAGTTGGAAGGGACCTTGGAGGTCTTCTAGTCCAACCCCCTGCTTAGGCAGGAAACCCTACACCACTTCAGATAAATGGTTATCCAACATCTTCTTAAAAACTTCCAGTGTTGGAGCATTCACAACTTCTGGAAGCAAGTTGTTCCACCGATTAATTGTTCTCACTGTCAGGAAATTTCTCCTTAGTTCTAAGTTGCTTCTCTCCTTGATTAATTTCCATCCATTGCTTCTTGTTCTACCCTCAGGTGCTTTGGAGAATACCTTGACTCCCTCTTCTTTGTGGCAGCCCCTGAGATATTGGAACACTGCTATCATGTCACCCTTAGTCCTTCTTAACACGTATAAACACAAAGAGCAAACAGGGTAGGTACTGAGATATTACCCTTTATCAGATTTTTTTTTTTTAAAAAAATGTCTGGACATTTTTCTTACTGCCACAGTATATCTTATTTTTAATCATCCTCCAAGCTTTCCTGTCAATCAAGGTCAGGCCACTGGAGATTGTATTGCGATCAAGATAGTTGAACTCTTGGGATTGTCTGTAGGCTTTTGTTTTTCTCTCTTTTATGAAAATCTAAGATTCGTTCAGAAACTCACCTCTCAATAGGAGAGGAGATACAACGGGCTAACAGTTTGATGACTCAGAGATGCTCTGTTGCTGCATCCTTTCTAAACCAGTTGCAAACCACAGGAGTGCACGTACATTTCTTGGCAGTGATTGGATTAAATTAGAATAATTTACTTTGCTTACTGTGCCTAAATTGGTTTCATATTGGGAAGTCTGACACACTGATTAAGTTAGTAGTGATTTCCCACACACACACACACACATATTCATAAAACTATATTTCATTTGCCACTATAAACAAGACAAATTAAGCCAGCATTGATAGGTACTTCTCCTGATGGTCTCCTATACGATGAAATGTCATTTCAATTAGCAGCAAAGGAATGTTGCTACATGTTATATGTGTGGATATACATAAACACACATACACACACATTCATGGAGTGCATTTGTATATGTGAGTACTCATATATTTGCATGTAAAGTTTTCCAGCTCTCTTTAAGTTTCATGAAATAAGTATATTAGCCTATATTCAATTTAGCTACAGTTATTTCTTATGTTATATTTTACTTAGTTTTTATTTTATCCTTTAGCAATCCTTTCTATAACTCGCAGCCGTGGTCATAGTGACAGATACAGATTAATAGAGTTGGAAGGGACCTTGTAGATCATCTAGTCCAACCCCCCGCCCACCCAAGCAGGAGACCCTACACCATTTTTGACCGATGGCAGTCTAGTCTCTTCTTGAAAGCTTCTAGTGATGAAGCTCCCACAAATTCTGAAGGCAATTCCTGAACTTCTGTGTTTTCTCTTTTAAGTAATTTGCTTAGGTGGGAAGAGAAATTTTCAGAAATTGATGTTTGGATGTTCAAAATTTATTTTTCAATTATTAACTTTGCTATGGAACTATGGAACTTATTATCATCTCTGGTGGAACTGCCCAGTGACAAAGAAATTCTGGGCGAAAGTTAAAAGTGGATAGAGGAAATAATTCAGAATTCAATAAAGGGAGAACCTGAGCAGTTTCTACTAGGGATTTCCATAGAAAATTATACTAAGGAAATATATTATTTAATATTGCATATACTGACAGCAGCCCGCATAGTCTATGCGCAAAATTGGAAGAAGAAAAACTTATCATCAGAAGAAGATTTAATTAGGAAAATCTTAGAGTGTGCAGAGATGGACAAATTAACAAAAGAAATCAAGGAGAAAGAGGATACAGAATATTACAAAGTGTGGTGTAGGTGGTATGAATGATTGGAGAATAGGAAAAATGAGAAAGAGGAATAAAGGAGAGAAAATGTTGAAGATCAAAGTACAGTCTAGACGAAAGAAAGAATGATGGAAAATAAATTGTTGAATAAGATAAAGTTAAAATGTGTGTGAATAAATGTAAATAGTAAGAAAGGATCATTTCGAAGTAGCTGTAGGGAAAAGTGATATGTATATAAATGTTGTGTGTTTGTGTCTTGTTTTTAATGTTTTCAAAATAAAAAAAAAAAAAAACTTTGCTGCATATGTAACAGAGAAGTAGGAGGATCCAAGACAAGTTCGTCATGATCACTATATGGTCTATCGATAGATAGTCATGGCAGGAGTGGTGCGGTGGCCTAGAGGTGGAGCTGTCACCTCACAATCAGGAGGCTGTGAGTTCGATCCTAGGTAGAGGCAGATATTTCTCTCTCTGGGCACAAAGAAGAATATATCTGCCGAACATATCTCCGCACTGGTGTCAGGAGGGGCATCGGCCAGTAAACACTCTGCTAGCTCCATTCAGTTGTCCAGACTCCACCCCACAAGGGATTATGGGGTTGTTAAACGAAGATGTTGATGAACAGTTGGTCTTGGCGGATGTTTTTTAGACAGGTCACAATAGGATACCTAAGAGTCATTTTGGGACTTGGTGAAAGTTCAGCTTTCCTGGACTAAATGGGAGAGTTGTCCCTGTTGTGGCTCCGTTACCTGAGCCTGTGTCATCGGCAGGAGAGGACTCCGAGAGTGAAGGAGAGGAGTTGGCAAGGCCTCCCTCTCCAGGACCCTCCTCTCTGGCAATGCCTTTGGTGTCCACCGAAGGTCAAGAGATAGGGCCGGGGCCAAGCACGTCCACGCAGCCACAGGTGGACAGTGATGAGGGAAATGAGTCTTGGCTGGATCCTCGGCAGCGTCGCAGAGATAAGCGCGCACAACCAAAGAAAAGGCGTGCCAGAGATTAAGCTGACTCACTGGACCACACCCCACAGGGTATAAAAGGAGGTGAGGTGGCCATTCAGACTCTGTGACGGACAAAACTAACTACTACCGAGTCACATTGCATCTTTGGAAACAACATTATCTGCCTTGGATTTATTTTATGAACTGGACAATGCTTGAACTGTGTGTATTTTGTTTATGAGTAAAGTTCTTGGCAAGCAGCTACTGGGTTGCTGCCAAGCTTCTTATCGGAAGAATTGGTTGTCTGCCAGTTTATTTAACCTCTGGCTGTCTGTTTGTGTGCATGTGTGAGATGGGGACAGAACAGTCCCAATCTACATTGTTTTTATGCCTTGCCTCTGTAACTATGTGTAATACAGGAATGCCTATGGAGATTCTCAGTCATCCAGATCTTGACTGTCCCAAAGGTGCTTTTTTTTTTTCAAAAGGAAACTGGACTTTCTTTGTTTTGCCTGAACTGAAGAAGCTTCTTGGATGAGAAGTGAAACATCTTCAAGCAAAACAAAGGAAGTCCAGTTTCCTTTAAAAAAAAAACCTTTGGGGTAATAAAGGAACATAACTAAAAGCCTATTTGTAAGTTTTCCACATATTTTTTAAAAAAGTTATCTGAATTGTTTTATTTATGTTGTCTGTGTCTTGTTAAGTATAACAACATTCAGGAAACATGGACAATTCACGCACAATTTCCCACATTGGGTTTACCATGGGCACAGCTAACATGCTGCTAGAAAATCTACACTTATGAATGGAACTTGAAAAGAGAGGTCCTGGAGACCACTGACAAGTGTGACAAGTGAAAGGAGGAGAACCAGGGATGACTCTTATTATTAATGATGTGATTAGCTCAGAATTTCTCAGCCTTGACAACTTTAAGTTGTCTTGCTGGCTGGGGAATTCTGGGAGTTGAAGTCCACGGTTTGTAAAGTTGTCTTGCTGGCTGGGGAATTCTGGGAGTTGAAGTCCACAGTTTGTAAAGTTGTCAAGAGTGAGAAACATTGGACTAGCTCATCAGTGCAATGAAGTGATCAGAAAAGCTTTATTTTTACAATAAGTGTTGGCTTGGTTACAGAGTTAATTAGAAAAAAAAATATGTTTGTAAGTAACCACTGCATGGAAGTTCAGTTTAAAAGTGAGTACCAGGAATTATGGAAGGTAAGGAAGAGGAAGATAATTAGAATTTAGAGGGGAAGAGAAAGAGAATTTAATACTTTTGACCCAGAGTAAATAACATAGGTGGAATTTGGATATCAGATAGAACTTTAAAATGTAATATAAACAGTTTTTATGTCCCATAATCACTGGTATCCCATATTAGATCAGGCTCTTTACAGTCAACATTTGTCTTAGTTGCTAATATGTTTTCAATTTATAGTAATTCTGTTTTCTTCTAGATCTCTTCCCCTGCATTTATTGCTGTTAGCATCAACATATTGGGATAAATTTTTATTTTAGGCAAGAATATTTTCTCTCGCTTATCGATCTGTTTACAAACTCAACACTTTTTATTCCATAAGCCAATTTCATCTTCTCTGTTTATTATTATATCAATCTAATTAATTTGCATTTTTTAAAAAATATGCCATCTAGAGGCCTTTGAAAGAGGGACTTTTTTTGATTTAGTAGTCTGTTTGTTTTATTTCTTATTAATTATGGCTTTGCTTTCTGTAGTAACATCAAGCTATAAAAAGGAAGATAAAGCCAGTAAAATGATTACATACATATGTGCATACTTTAATTTTCCACTGTTAAGATAACCTGTAAAACAGGGGTGTCATCCTCCAATATTGAGGGCCGCATCAGGGTTGTGTTTGATCCCAAGGGGCCAGAGTAGGTGTGGCCAGGGTGGGGGTGGCCAGCTCGACATCATTCATATCGGGGGCGCCTGAGGTGGCCTGAGGGCTCTGCCAGTGAAAACAGGCTCCTGAGCTCCGTTTTCAGCTGGGACAGCTTCCTGAAACCCTCTGCCAGTGAAAATGGAGCTCGGGATGTCCGCATACAGCCCTCACAAGTTCTGTTTTTGGCTGCAGTGGCCTCCTCTGCCAGTGAAAATGGAGCTTGAGAGGGCTCCGTTTTCGCTGACAGAGGCATCGCAGGCCAGTCCTTCACTGTTTCCAGGACAGCCCCCAATCTAAACACCCCCAGGGCCTGATCTGGCCACCAGGCCTTCAGTTTGACACCCCTGCTGTAAAATGTACAACACATTACAATGTCTCAGATGAAAACAAGGAACAGGAGATGCTCCTTCACTTAAAATACTTCTGAGCTAGATGGATCAATGCTCTTAACTGCTGTAATATTGCAAAATGTTTTTTTTTATGAATTTCATTTGCTTTGAATTCAAAATGGGTCATTCTGACCTGCCCAGAAGTGTTCATTTGACCATTGCAGAGATGTCCTGAGCAAACAGAAGAAGGGTGGGTGGGAGAAAGCTTGTTCAAGCTTGGAACATTTCCAGAACACTTGAAGAGAATCAAAATATTCCTGCTAAGGTCAAAAGAGCTGTTTTGAACTTGAAATGGGGTGTTTCAAACTTTAAATGGGGTGCTCTCAGTTTAAAAGCTTTTGAATGTGAAACATTTG